GGAACCAGAGTATGATTTCGAGTCTGTTGAGGGAGGTCTACCTTCTCCAGAAAGGGATGATGAGCCTGGTGGACATCCCACAGGCGAGCTCAGAGGTCAGAAGGGATCCCAGCAAGCTCAGGGGAATCGCTCCTGTGTAGGGAGTGGAGGACCTGAGGAAGTCAGTCTGGGGACTTCACGTCTGTCTGAAGGGCAAGCCTATCGTCGGGCTCCGGTGAGTCAGCAGCTTAATGGAACAGCTGGATTGGGAAAAGGTCGTGGATCCGCATCGACCCTGTCTGGATGGGAGGAAGCTGGTTTTTCTATGCCGGTTCAGTCTAACGCGGCTCCCACTGGTGGCTATGCTGTGTCTGGTGGAACAGGTACCGGTACAGGTACCTTGTCTGCAAGACAGGAGTGGACCAGGATGCAGGATGGTGGTCGCACGGAACGAGTGGATCATCTGGAGCTTTTGGTTCAACAGCTGCTGGAGCAGAATGAACGACTGAAGACAGAAAGACAGGCTCTCCAGTCAGGCCCATCTGAGCGTGGAGTGAGTAGAGGTGATCTTGTACATAGTGTGAGTAGACTCCGTGATGGAGGTAGGAATGTTTCGGAGTGCAGAAGTCTGAGGTCTTCAGGGAACTTCGGGTTAGAACTGGAAAGGGTGTTGGTTCTAGTGGTGATGAAGATAGGGCCCCTACTCTGAGAACGTTTGTGCCTCCTTGGACAAGTTTTGCCCAGCCAGAGGATGCTGTTGCATCATCGCTGCCTGTTGAAGGCCCAGGCGACAGGTTTTTGGCGGCGACCAGAGCGATGCAGGAGCTGCATCTTACAGACTCTCGTGTGTCGGAGAGGTCGGATGTTGATATGGGAGTCGGCTCTATCCCATGGCCGATTCCTAACACCAGCAGTGTAGCTGGAATGCCGATGTTCAGCTGTGCAGCTGAGCGGTGTGAGGTTGAGGTGCCGCAAGTGCGTCAGCACGGTAACGCTTCTGACCGTGTGAACCCCAGTACTGATGCAACGCAGCAGAGACAGCCTCAGTCTGTTACGGTTGTTATTAATGGGGTTTCAAGAAAGGGTGTGTTCAATGCAATGGGTGAGGTAGTTCTTCAGTCGGAGTCGCCGAAGTACTTTGCAATAGCGGATAGTGCTTTTCAGCCGGCAGAGGGAGACCAGAGGGAATCTGGCCAAGCTGCCACGACTGCTGTGCAACAGCCAGGCAATCCGTTCACGGTTGGGACACCCTCACCGTTTAGAGCCCCTACACCACCTGTGTCTAGAGAGTTGTCAGTTCCGCCTCCTCCACCACCACCTCCGGAAAGCCCCTGGAATGTAGGACGTGGTGAGTGTAGGGTAAGCAGTAGATCGCCGGGACCTACTAGGTCAGGATACTCTAGGAGGGTGGTGCGTTCTCCTAATCCCAGTCCCCCTCGAGCACCCATAGCTGCACGGGTTCAGGTGAATGCATCACCGGCAACGCCAAGAGGGACCAGGCTTCCGAAGGCTCCACCTCCCGTAAGCCCTCAGGATGAAAGGACGTCATCCGCAGTTGCTCCGAGCAATACTGTGGAGGCGGAGGTGCGTCAGGGTTTGGATCAGGGTGAGTCCAAGGATTTTAGGCCAGGTGAGCGTACGCTTTGGGAGTTGCCTATCCTAACCCCGGTGTCGGAGGCCAACCCGGCAATGAGGTTTAGTGACTGGGTTCATAAGGTTACACCCTTCTTCAACGACTTGGCACCGCGCGGACACGAGTGGTGGCAGCGTGTTCTTTCGGAGGCTAAGGAAGAGTATGAGAGGTGGTGTAAAGCTAAGCCCCTTGAGCGTTCCAAGCTTGTGTGTCGACCCAGCACTGTTCTGCAGTTGGAGAGGTTTGTTAGGATTGAGGCGCGAGGGGTGGCAATGCTCACAAAAGCCCTTCCACCGGCACTGTACGAGCAAGCTTTGAGTCTCAGGTGTGTTACTTGCACGTGTCTTCTGTTCTTGGCGATGAGGATGTTTCAACCTGGGGGTTTGTCGGAGAGATCGGAGCTGCTGAGAGGTCTTACAGGGCTTCCACTGTGTGATTCAGCCCAGGGCGCTGTTGCAGCACTTCAGAAGTGGTTCAGGCACTTGGAAAGGGCTCGGACCATGAGTATTAGTGTTCCGGACAGCTCTTTACTGTTGGATGGGGTTGATAAGTGCATGAAAGGTGTGTTGCAGGCTAATCCAAACCTCATGTTTCGTATCCAGGCGATTCGTATGCAGCTTCAGTTGGATACCTCTCCAACACAGGAGACAGTGGAAGAGTACACCAGAACTCTTCTAGCGGAAATGGAGCTCCTTTCACTGTCAGCACCGGATGTGGGCAACAAGCGTCAGAGGGTTGCAGCCGTAACCCAAGATGCTGGAGGTGACAAGGGAAAAGGAAAAAGGAACGGAAAGGGTGAGGAGCCTGCTCCGCCTAGTGGAGCAGGGAACGGTAGGGGAACTCGAGAGCCCCGAAAACCCTGTTCGGCGTGGTCCACCGATGCTGGATGTCCCCAGGGCAAGCTGTGTGCCATGGCTCATACTCCAGAAAAGCCAGGCCGATGCTGGGTGTGTGGTGGTCAACACCAGAAGCATGAATGCAAGGCACCAGGAGGGGGCAAGGCGCAAAAGGTTGAAGGATCCGGTACTGATGGTGGCACGGAACGAGGTGCTAAAGGGAAGGATGATAAGGGCAAGGCTAATGGAGGTCGGGGTAACCCAAAGTCCGCTGCTGCCTCCGGAAAAACCGGGGCAAAGACTGGGAATGCTCAGGGCAATATCTCAGAGGCAGCGATTCGTGAGGCCGCCCAGATTCTACAAAGTCTACGGTTGTCATCGCTTCAGTGTGACCTTAAGAGTGCATCAGAGTTCTTGAATAAAGCAGGCATTAACGGCAGAAGAGGTCTGATAGACGGAGGTGCCACGGCTTGCCTTAGGACGGCCCACGAAAGCGAGAAGCTGCTGCCAACGATTCCTGTGAAGCTTGCCTGTGGAAGCTGTGATCTTCACATTAACCAGTACTGCACGCTGCTGAGCGAAGTACAGGTTTCGCCAATCCTCTCGGTGAAGGCACTCTTGCGGCTTGGGTACAAGATTGACTGGAATGCCTCCAGATGCAGGGTATATCATCCTAAGTTTGGGGAATTGGAAGTTGATACTAGTACTGGTTGCCCAGAAGTGGATGAGGATGTAGCACTGGAGCTTATAAGTCAGTACGAGCTGTATGTTGGCCGGCATGACAATAGAGTTGCGCGGTTGAGGTGCATTGTGGAGGATTTGAGATCCAAGGGTACACAGGAACTTGTGGGCCTGATGAGCCATGGGGACTCCCAGGCAGATGCCGCCTTGAGTGTCTACGTGAGCAGAATGTTCCCCGAGGTTTGTCCTGAGACGCTGGAGCAGTGCGTAGTGTCTCTTCAGGACTCTTCTGAAGAGTCCATGACCTGGAACAGGCGCACCAGGAGGAGCTGTGCCAAGGCCCAGGGTCTTATGATTCATGCCTTCTGTGGACCTTCCAAGAAAGTGTTTGAAGCGGTAGCGCGTAAGTGGGATGTTGCACATCTTGCGGTGGATGATTCCAGGGATTTGCTGTGTGATAGTACATACCGCTACTTACTTAGACAGGCTAGAGATGGAAGAGTGAGGGCAATTGTGGGGACCCCTCCAAACAGGACCTTCTCATTTGCCAGGACACTGCATGAAGGTACAGGTCGAGGTCCTAGACCAGTTCGTGTGCCGGGGGAGAGCATTGGAGTGTTTGGAGTTCCGGATCTGTCTTGCCAGGAGCGTGCACAAAGGAATGTGGATGATGTGTTGATTCTTCGGTTTTTGGTGCTCATTGTTCTTGCGGCTGAAGTGAACAAGAGTTGTGGAGTTCCAGCTCCAGCTGTGCTTGTTGAGAACCCATGTTCTGAAGTAGAGGTTGGTGCTCCAGATGTTTTGGGAAACGAGCATACACAGGTCTCTCTGTGGAACACTCCAGAGTGGCAGGTTGTGGCACAGAGTGCTGGCTTGAGCCTGGCAGGGTTCTTTCAAAGTCCAATGGGGCATTGCAAGCGTCGGCCCACTGGCTTGGGTACAAATGTGGAGCTCGACCCCATGCTTGTGGAGTGTGGTGTCAGGGCTGAGGTTTTGGATTATGTTCCAATTCGTGACTTTGGAGTGAAGACCGAGCTGTGGACAGAATGGGCACCAGGTCTTGCTCAGGCCCTGAGTAGTATGCTTCACAGAAGGTTTGCTGAGATGAGACGTGAAGTTTCCTTTGGTGGGGAGATACGGAAGGTGGATCCAGGCTTTCTGCATCACTTGCAGCAGAATCATATGCCCTACCGAAACGACTGCGCCACTTGCCTCAAGGGCTCAGCGCGCAGGAAGCAGCATCGGAGAGTGCTGACACCTCAGTCCTGGTGTTTGTCAATAGACACAGCTGGCCCTTTTGTCAGGGGACGGGACGAGCATACTCCAAAGGCTCGATATTTGATAGTGGGTGTACTGTCAGTGCCAGTGTTGGCTGTGGATGGAAAGGATGTGGATGAGCCATGTGACGCAGACCCAGGTCCGGAGGTGCCAAGTGGAGGTGTGCTTGAGGATGCTGAGTGGTTGGCTGATAAGGTTGGTGATGCTGAAGAGCCCCTGCCAGAGTGTACCGCTAAGGATGCTGCTGAAGTGCGAAGTGCATGGAATGAATGGGATCGTCTTGTGAAGTCTAGTCGAGAAGACTGGATCGAGGAAGCTCAGGCTGAGTGTTTGCCCAAGGTGGAGATTGTGGACTTTGTGTATGTCGAAGCTATCGAGCGTAAAACCCATGGTGAGATGTTGACTGCTGTGGGTAGAATGCACGCAAGAGCCAAGGCAGAAGGCTTCGATGTTAGAAGGTTGCACTCTGACAGGGGTAGAGAGTACAACAATAAGTCCCTCCGTGACTGGTGTGCAAGACACTCCATTCATAAGACTTTTGCTGTGGCAGAAGAACACCAGGGCAATGGACGTGCAGAGGGTGCAATCATGAGGGTCAAGAACAAAACAAGAGTGATTTTGGAGGAATCTGGACCGGACAAGTCTGAGTGGCCTCTGGCGGCAAAGCTTGCAGCCCATGAGCTTAAGAACGAAGCAAGGCGTCGACTGAAGATTCAGGTCTCTACTTCGTGTTCAGGTGATAAGCAGGAGCTGGAAACGTGAGACTTGGGAATCCAGAACCACCACAGCCTATGTGAAATGCCCTTCAGCGGACATGTCGAGAGGTTGGGTTGTGGCAACGGAGGATGGCAAGCTCCTCACTACAGGCAAGTTGTTTCCCTCTATAGATCAGGGTAAGGTTGCTTTCAGCAGCACTGGTGTAGCTGTAGATCTGGATGCCCCAGATTATAGAGTGACTGGTAAAAAATCGTTGAGACAGCTCCAGGTTCCCGAGTCCTGCGAACCACTGCACAAGGTTGATTGGCTTGCCAAGAAGCTGTACGAAAGTGGGAGCTTCAAACCGAAGGATATAGCTGAATTGGCTGTAGGTCTGTCGCAGCTGTCTCAGAACAGCTCACGCATGGTTCGTGGAACACCAGAGGCAGGATCCTTGAGGACGTGCAATTTCCTTACAGGGGCCTTTTCGTACGGAGGCATGACAGGTGTGAGGGCAAACACAAAGGATCATCCTTGGGTTACTCGATATCTCACTGCCTATCTGAGTGAGTACACCGATGGTTTATGTGCAGGTGTTGGGTTGATATTGAACACGGAACATGAGTTGCATCGTGACTTGCACAACCAGAAAGGAGTTCCAAATCTCGTACTTCCAATTGTGACCTCTGGTGGAGGGCTCTGGGTGCAGCA